ATTGAACAGGAAGTAACAGTATCTATTTCCCTATTAACCTATTTCTTCCTTTATCCACCTATCCACCATTTGATTAATACTGATTTCTTCTTTATGATTTCACCAAGACTGTGTCTGTTGTAATTTACATGGTAATTGCAATCCTTGATACGAGGTTTAAAAAGGACTTGCATCATTTTGGCTTTGTGACAATGAACGTTTAGACAATAACCGGTGAAACAATGGTGCAAGCCTGATGATGATACCAACTAGTCAGCTTTTTCTTCAGTTGGTAAATTTAAATGAGCAACGACGCTGGTGAGAGAAGTCTGCTTAAAATTCTTCACGGAGATTATGTATAATTTTGCAACATTACAAACGTTTCCTAGTTTCTACTGTTTTTCGGTTGGCTCCTCCCCAAAAGAAATTCTACAATTCGTTCTTACGAATACTTTTCGCCATTTTTTTCCGGATTTTGTAACAAAATTTTTCACTTGCAGAAACACCGTCCGTACCTATCACCAACAGAATAAAATCTGCTAATACATTTAATTGCGTCACAGTGATATCTGCAAAAGGGGAACACGATTTAAATATCAGTGTGCCTGATTTATTTAAATTGCTGCTCTTATACTGCTGCACCTTTGTACCTGATAAGTTGCTCTTAAGGAGACACGCTATTACCATTATACCATGGAATACTACTAGCATCATCAGGTGTTTCTTCAATTTCAATCTGTGCACCAGGAGATCTCTAAATTAAGACCTCGTCATATTCAAGTGCAGACTACTTCAGATAATTGGTATTTCCAGGGGGCAGTAAAGAAATGTGTTAACAATAATGACGAACGAGTGGATACTTTCTGAAGATAAAATACATTTATTATCAGTTCTGTTTCTCTAAAATGGTTAATTTCATATAGATGTTGACATTTCTTTGAAACACAACTTGTAAAATGTTACATCATTATATCATTGTAGGACACTTGCTGAAATTTATGGAGGCAATGTAAACGTCTATTAATTTCTTTTAGAACAATGATGAACTTATTTGTTTTACTTCTGTAATGAGGCACCGATGTGCATATTAATTATGTAATAAGGAACGAGCCTGGAGGAAACTGTTTCGCACGCATTCGTTGCACCGGGGTCAGTGAGAAGACCAAATAGAAATGAGGCGGAAGACGTGTAATTAAATCGTTGCGAAAGGCAACACAAACAGGCGACACATACGCACAGTGAAACGCTCCTGGCAATTATACCTCACTTCGAGCATTTCTCTTTCCTCTTTTTTCATTGCTCAATACTCAATTTTTGAAGAATTGGTTTCTTTACTAAAATTATTGCAACCAGAGCCCTCAAACGTTTAAATAATCCTTCAACTACTGTCACTTGCGACGTGCTGAATTGTACAACCTTCTGGCCCCTAATTAAAGGGAATGTTGTCCATGAATGGCACACAACACATTTGTCTACACCAATTTGCAACACGCCAACAGTTCATTACATTCTCATCACGTTTATTCGCCACTGACACGCGTTTTACCAACTAAAAGGAAACGCTGGGACCATTGCAAATTGTATGGTGATTAAGTGTGGTTGTGTAAATGAGAGTAGGTGGACATAGTAGGAAGATATCTTCTCTCTGAGGATAGAGTAGTAGTAATATTCATAAAAAATTCCATGAGATTTTCACTTGTTAAGAGGATTCTAATTATCCTCTATTATTATGTAAATGATGTTGTTAGGTTATACTTTGATTACTATTGAAAGGGATCTGTAATGGAAGATTCATGTTAGAAGCTGTTCCACAAAGTGTTATCAGCAAAGCATCATCTAGTGTGATGATAATATTTAAAAGATAATATTATAATAATTCAATGAAACCTGCAGCAAAAGATTTGTGGTAGTAATAAAATGATTTATTTTATACTTTTGATTGCAGATGGTAATACTATGCATGGCAATGGTGCAAGTGATAAGTGATCTACCACCTGGGACAAGACGCAACACGTACCTCCCTCCTGAGCCAACCAAGGGTTACAACTACGATACTCCTCGAATACCATTTTCCAGGCCTACCACCTCAAGACCACCCTTCACAACGACACGTTCCTACAGTAACCACAAACCCACCACAAAGTTTCCATCCTCAATACCAACACCTGGTCAAGGTTATCCTCCTCCAGGCCCCAGACCTACACCAGAGTTCCCTGATTATGGGACACCGACCAGGCCTACTGGTAGCACTATAACCCCTGGCGGTGTGAGTGGGAACGAAGTGTCTAAAAAAATTTTAAAACAATTTGAAAAATTATGTCATAAGAATTAATAATTCTTCTAATTTTAATCGCAGCATGATCACCATCATCACGAACCAGGCATGCCGTTCGACTTCAACTACGCGGTGAAGGAGGATGCGTTTGGCAATGATTACTCCCACAACGCCATAAGCGACGGAGACATCGTCCGTGGGGAGTACAAAGTTCAGTTGCCTGATGGAAGGCTACAGATCGTCCGTTACACCGCCGATTGGAAGCACGGCTTTAGTGCGCAGGTCTCCTACGATGGGAATCCCCGTTTCGACGTTCCTCGACCGCCCGGAAACTTTGCAGGCTATTAGGTTATGTTGCGTCTAGCCTGGGCTTGCGAACGATGTTAACACATGTTTGTTTTGCGGTTCTTATTGTTAGTCTTCACCGTGCTGTCTCTACGCCTCCATTCGTTACTACTAACTAGCCGAGTTGTTCGGATGAATCAGACTTCCTCTCTATTTTTGTGTCGCTTTTGATCTTGTAGTTGGTGATGTTGTTGACAATGAGGTAGTTACTGATGGAAGTGCTTCTTGAACATGCAGAATAGTTTTGTTTATTCTTATTCTAATCTTAAAATTGGAAGACTGGGTTGAAAAATTTTTCCTTTATTTTTTTGAATATTAAATGTTTTTATTGTTCATCAGTAATTTTTTAATGAATCAAGTAGCACTTTCCTTTATGATCTATCACTTTGTTTGTACAATATGAATGAAAGAATATTCTGTCTGTGAGCATAAATCATAGCTGGCACATACTTTTGCATCTCTAGCCATCTGCAAAGTTTAGATCTAAAGAAAGATCTTAGGCCAGAGTATATTTTTTATTCTTCGGTTAAATGTGTTCAATGGGCATAGATAAATAAAACAAAAAAATTGATCAAGTCAAGGGTGTACTTCTCTTTGAAGCATGAAATAGCAGCTAAGAATTAAATTGTAGTAGTAACGGTTTGTTTTAAGGAGGCTGGTGGAACAATATTAACCCTTTGCAATCGCGTGTCGCCTACTAGATCTGTGTAAAAATTGTTTTAATTGTCAATTGTCGACGAGAGAAAATGTATGGCATCTGTTTGTAAAGTAGAAAGCATAGATCATTTTCTGAAACGTTTTCTGTATCATTGATTTTGATGAAAGGGAAGAAAACGTGAAGAAATTTAAAGTTTCAGTAAATACACCAAATGATTGTATTATCTTTGATAATAAAAATATACAAGCTTTTTAATACATGTATGCATATATCTCTTCTTTATTCCCCTCTGCCTAATTTAAATTTACATCTCATATTTTTTATACATATGTACTTTTTATTCAAAATGTTATCAAGCAAAAGATCATGAGATATAGTTTGTTGTGATACTTTGTTGCTATGGTTAAATTGATCGTCGCGCATGTGCGCTAATGGTACTTTATATCATACCTAGAAGTAATATAGTGGAAGATTCTTTAATTTACTGGCTGCAAATTTTTTAAACATTTAACTAACCTTAAAATTTAAATATTCATGACAAAAGAAAATTAATTCAAATTCTATTTCTTTGAAATTTCAAAAAAGAAATTAAATTACTCCTCAAAATGACATTGCTACTATCAAGAATAGATTATGCAGCAGTGGGTGTCACATCCAGAGGTACAACAAAGATTTTCCCTGCAACAGAGCACAGGCAAATGCAAAAGTTTGCTGTAGCTGATCATGATGGTGTACTACATGTCTATGGTAAATTTTCTTTTTTACTTCTTCACTGTTTCAACTTAACATGCAATTCATTTTTAATACAGGTGTAAAAAAAGGTGAGCTACAGGTGTCATTTAAATCTCTACCAGGACCAAGGATTAACAAATTGGTTCTTGGTGGTAGTGGGCATGATAAAATTTTTATTGCACAGGGAAATACTGTGAAAGGATACACTAGGAAAGGAAAATTATTTTTGGAGTTTGATACTAATCTCATAGACTCTATTTCTGCACTGTAAATAAATTCTATAAAGTATTTTTATTTGTAATCCTAAGTTAAAGAATTAATCTAAATTAATCTATCTAAATAAGGAATTAGTGAAAATTCTTTCATAGATATGTACTTGGTCCAGATTTGGCAGCTTGTGCCAGAGATCTCTATCACAGATATCATGATTGCAAAGATGCTGACTCCTATTTAGCGGGTGAAACTTTGTATGATGTTCTTCTTCTACCTGCTGACACTTCTCTCGTGTTTGCTATATTAGCTTGTGGAGATTGTGCTGTAAGAAATTAAATTTGTAAAATTAAGAACAATTTTTGAAAAGCTTCATTTCCTTAGATACGAGTTCTTCATGGTACCAAAACTCCAGTAATTCTCAGACTTCCCAGTGTGCCTACAATATTGTCACTGTACAGGTTACTAATCATTTCTAATTATTTTAATCATTTTATTTTCATTTTTAAAGTTTATTTTTTCTAATTTTTACAGAGAAGGTGATGTTGAGTCCAAGGAACGTGTCCTAGTTGGAACCATAGATGGTAAAGTGGGATTATTAATTTTGCAAGGTAACAAGACTCTGCGAATCACTTGGCTGTTGAATATGACAGGCTCAGAAATCACCTCTTTGGATACTTATGAATTACAAGATGGTCTAGACATACTTATTGGTCGTCAGGATGGTACAATTGAAGTATACACTTTTCCTGAAGAAGACACATTACCATCATTTCGTTATCGTTATGTAAGTACATCATCCTTGAATATATATATTATTTAGTATCAAAATATTTCTACAAAATCTATTTTATAGAATGCCAATGAAAGTATCAGTTCAGTAGCAGGAGGAATAATCGGTGCTGCAGGATATCCTGAGGTATTGGTCACAACATACTCAGGAAGAATATTTGGCTTAACTACCAGGCCACCAGGAATTTTAGAAGCTGACCAAAATGATGGCTTGATAAGGTTAAAAGGAGAGATACAACAATTACAAGGAAAAATTAATGAAGAGAAAGAAGCAGCTAATTTTTCAGTTGATCTTTTGGCTCCACTAATTTTATCAGTAAATCATAGGTATGAATTTGGAAAAAAGTGTTTTCTCTTATTCAGAACACATAATTGAAGAATCAATTGCAGAATGGTCTTAAACAGGGAAGATGCATCCTACTCTCTTTCTGTAGAACTTGATACACCAATTGATAACATTTTAATACAATCGGACACCCCAATTAAATTATTGGATGTAGAAAGTAACAGTGCAGTGCTTAGTCTATCAGCTTGTAATCCCAAAGAAGGCAATTTTGTTCTTGCTACTTATCGCTGTCAAGTAAATATAGATTAAAGTAGAAATATTTAATTTTTCAATTATCAAGATGTGAAGGGTAACAATTTTAATAGGTAAATACTAGTCATCTTGAAATGCGGTTAAGAACCATAGAGGGACAGCCTGGTACTTTGCAAATTTATGTTACTTCACAGGTACACTGTTAATTTTTTTTATTAATATGTTAAATAAGGATACAATTAGATTTTTATAATTTAGGTACAACCAAAGTGCTGTCGGAAAATATCAATACCCATATGTGCTCTTTCTCTTCACGTAAGGCAGTATGAAGATGAAAATACAGAATCTCATAATGGAGGACCTTTCAATGAATTAAAATTAGTTGGGAGCTTCACTGTTGCAGAGGTGAAATATTTAATCTTTCCAATTCTGTACTTATTTCTTCTTCTAATTCTAGTTACTTCAGATGCATGCCTGGCTTTTCTTTGCATTACCTGACGTCCCTGAAAGACCTCATTTAGAGGAAGGAGAAGCCAGTTTGACATATATTTCTTCTTTTATTGGTACACTCCTGAAGTGCAAGTATAAGTAAGTGATATATAATAATAAGGTTAAGTCAAAAGTAAAATTTCTTCAATTTTCAGGAAAGGAAGTGCAATTTTTCTTGGAGAGAATGTATCAAGCATTATAATTCTTAGAGACATATTAACCAGAGAAGCAACAAAAAGAAAGATCAAATTGGATGTCTTCTGTAGTATGTTTGATTATTCTTCATTTCAAATTTCTTTTTTTACCTAATAATTCTTTACAGATGTTGCAGAGAGTAGTATATCTAGGGTATTGGAGTTAGTTCTTCCTCAACTGAACGCTGCTCATGATTTGATCATAAAAGTGAAAATTCTGAATGCTCTTGAGGAGTGGGAACTGAAGGAAAATCCAAAGGAGAATTTATGCACAGAGTATCAACAGTTGATACAAAAAGAAGCAGAGATAAGGTCACAAATGACAAAGCATAATGAAATTTTAGAAAGATTACATGCGGTTATTACGGATCTCTATGTTGACTGGGAGAGAGCTAAACGTTCTCGTAGGTAATGTATCAATAAATATTAACAATTTAAATTAACAAAATTTTGTACTTATCTCTTCTTCGATATTTATATTTAAATTATCTTTTAACTTTCAAAGTATTCCTGTGATGAAAAAAGAAAATCTCTTTATTTTGAATTTAATTTAAAGTATCAATCGTTTATTCTTCTTCTTTTTTCAAACTATATAATATCACATAAATTATAATAAAAAATCTATAGGAATAAAATTTACAAGGCAATAACGAAGAAATTAATTGACACAAAATTTTGTTAAAGTCCTTCATAATTGAAAGGCTTGTATTCATGCGTAGTAAAAACCAAATTATATTTTTTTTCAAAGAGATAAAAAATTTTAAATAAATTGCAGCACTTTGTATGTACATAATCCTATGCGTTGTAGAATCAGTGGCAATGATGCTGCAAAGAAGCTCAGCGCAGCGCTCGAATCCAGAGAATTGTCTCAACTCTTACATGTGTTTATTGATACAAGTAACACGGTGCCTGCACCATCTTCAGTACCATCATTGATCATCTAAATGCTGAGCTACTAACACTTTCACTTTTCTTCTTGTGGAGAATGCAATAAAGGTGGACCACAGTGTTTCTATAAATGTCTTCACGTAAAAAATATATTTTTTAACGACGATTCGTGAATATAAATGACTAACTTAACCTAAACTTAAAAATTTACATGTACAGTAGTATCTTGATTACTGTTAATTATAGTACAATATATACGCGCGCGTGTGTGTGTGTGTGTATGTGTAATATGCATACGTGTATGCACTCGTTCATACGCGCGCGCGCGCACACACACCTTTGTCTAATTAAAGTGATATACTTTTAGGATTGTGTTCTTGTGAGTTCTGTACTTTCACGAGTTTCCTGCGAAAAAGCAGTCTTAAGAATTATTTAAATTTTAACGCTACATCCGTTGTGATAACATTCCCTTAAAAAGTACATTGCAGAGAAATCGGAAAGTACGTTTATGCACATTACATAGGCAGTGCGTTTGATGTATAGCACTTCGATTCAGTCATTTACACCGGGGTGCAGGGGGGTCTACGACTTTACAAAGCGCCATCTTTGTACTACAGACCTTTCTAACCTCAAATTACGAAAACCAACGGATATTACATGAAGAAATATTGCCTGTAAACAATTACAACAATAAACAATAAGTAAATACCTGTATGATTTTTTATTTCATAAAATAAATTAAAATAAAACTTACATGTTATCAGTTGTACGCACAACCGCCTCTAAGGGGTCCCTGTCTGCGTTTGAGTCTGGCGCTGTCGTCACTGTGTACTCTAAGGTTTGTCCCCCTGCATGTGGCAAAATGCTTTCAGGGTTATCATCAGGTGGAACAATTTCTACGACTCCAGTAGCTTCCACTTCCAACTTCAAGTCTCTGACGAGATCTTGAATAGTTTTCGCTTGTGAACCCTTATCGTTCTCCTCTTCTATGCTCTTTCCTGACATAACTCTGTTCATTGGTCTGTCAGTTTTGCCCCTAGAGTGCGTGTGTAAGTGCCTTTTCATGTCACTTCGCACTCTAAATGGCTTACCACATACTGTACATGGATGAGGCTTCTCTCCAGTATGTATACGGCGATGATTCTGTAAGTAACTACTAGCTCTGAAGGTTTTGTTACAGTATTCACAACGATAATTCTTCTCCCCGGTATGAATCCTTCTGTGAACGATCAGAGAATATTTCCGAGCAAAGTCTTTGCCACAGTATTCACATTGATACTGTCTCTGTTCCGAGTGAATACTTGTGGAGTGATACTTTAGGTCTCCCCACTGACGAAAATGTCTGCCACATTCCTCGCACTTGTATGGCTTATCACCGCTATGAAGGCGCTTATGGACCTACATTTTGAACAACTCGATTAGTAAACGATATTCGTTTTTTAAATTGTATTTCATTGTATTGCACAGGTAACTAGGCCACCTTTAATGCACTAGCAGCGAAGAAACTCTTTCCACAAACTTCACACTGATGTGGTCGTTCTCCACTGTGAGATCTCATATGGTATACTAAACTATTTTTGTGGTGAAATGACCGGTCGCACTGAGGACACGTTACTTCATCATCTATGGAAAAGAAGAGTACTTTTAAGAGTGTATAGGTTAGGTAAAGAAGAAACTTTCGTACGCAGATACACATACTCGACTTTCTTGTTTTCAGTATCTTCTTTTTCTTCGTTGTCTGTAGAATATTAGTCTTTTCTTTGTCATGGATGCCTTGTTCGTTGACAGTCGGTGGTTTCACGTGGTCCCTATGTACATGCTCTGTAACATCCGTGATTGTCCACAGTGGTGATTCATTGTTCACAGTGGACAGTGGAGACTCTGTTTCATCATCTATGTGAGCACCTGTTTCCTCAACTGGAAATATTAAAAAATGTTAAAGTAGATTAATAAAAATACTGTCTCCTTTGTTACTCACCAACACCTCTGATGCCTTCCATGAGATCTTCAGGTTCACTGAACTCTTCAATTACTGTATTTTCAAGATTCTGTACAGACTCTGGTACAGATATTGTAATATTGGTATTTGTTGCTTGTGCTATTCTTGTTTCCTGTTTTACAGGCTCATAATGCACCTGAAATCCAAACAAATGTTACACAAAATTAAACTATTTTTATAGATATTTGATTGACAATTTACAAGGGCACAAATTACCTTTAAATGTTCAAAGAATTTCAATTGACTACTAAATCTAGAACTGCACAGTTCACACTTGAACATATGTGCTTGAATATCACTGGAGGATTCTGTGTTTATGGCATCGGTATTCATCCTACTACCATCTTTTCTTGCTGAGCTTCTTTTGGTCTGCTGCTTGAGCTTTCTGGGAATCCTTTTCTTGTGAGGTAAAGACCTTTTTGGTCCAGAGCTTGGAGCAGCATCCTCGCTGCTTTCAGCTGACACATCCACATCATATTCACTTTTCACATTTATAAACTCTTGTTTTACATTATGCGTGATTCGTTTGAAGGGTTGTAGTGTAGGGTACACTGGTGGGGCATTTGGTTCTGGGACAGTTTGAATAGAATATGTGTTAACAGGTGTTAAAGTCTCTAAATGAGAAACATCTGGCAAGGTTGGATCTTCGTGTTGAGATTGACTATGAAGTTGCTGTTGTTTCTGTTGTTGCTGTAGCTGAACAGCAACCAAAGCTGCAGCTAGTCTGCGATCTTCCTGTTTTAAGAATTAAAAATCAATTTTTAATATGTGAACACAATAGTACCAAAAATTACCTCTGTTAATTCATGTTGTAATAAATCATCTGCTTCATAATATTGTGTTGCTGTGCCATAATCTGTACCAACACCAGCATTGATCATATCAACAACCATTCCTTCAGAGATTAACTCTCCATTCAGTGTTAAAAGAGGGACACTTTTGCTGAGTGCTTCTCCATCAGCCCTTTGAATGGTAATGTACTGAGCACCTTCCATTCCTTCCAGCAACACTGCCTGAGCTTCCTCTGTTGTAACTTCCATGGTTATTTATTTTAGCTGTTGATAGAAAAAAATTTCTTCTACAGTGATTTCTTTGCCATGTGTGTAAGCTAGCTTTCTGCACCTATAAACAAAAGGTAGTGATAAACACTTTATCCAAATAGTCTCAAGTTCAATGATACTGAAATTTCTGTGATTTCAAGACTTTCAATGACTTATCTTGATTTATCTTATCTGTTAAAAAATTGATATTAAAAATTTTTCTTTGCAGTAAAACATTTTCTTTTATGATTTTTATTTTTATTTATTAATAATAATACATTTGTAGTGGTGTCAAAAGTGTACAGTTAATAATTGTAAAGTTTTTTGGTGCATAAACTATAGTTCACAATAAAATTCATTTATTTTATCGTTCATTAAAAAGATATGCAACAACATAAAAGAGACATTAATTTTAAATTAATTTTAGCATATCTATCGATCACCGTGAGGACGTGGATCAGCGATTCAAATTTCGCGCGCGCGTGCATTACAGAAATGACAGCGGAATCAAGGTCACTGCACCCGGAGCTCTCAGAAAATTTCTCTCGAGCTTTGATTTATGTTCCAGCGAAAAATCCGGTCCCCTCTCACCTCTTAGTACCAACCTTCGCAAACCCGAGTAAATTTTTCCTCTTCTTCTTGGAAAACTCGAGCGACATAAACAAAGCAAAATATTGAAACACTGTAGGACAAAATGTGACAACAGTGCTTGGGTCTTGACGCCATTAGAACGGATGTACCCTTCCTCGACCTCCTACACGAATCTTTCACCGACACCAACGTTCATTCTCAAAAAGCACTAGGAATTGTTTCTTTGTAATCCATCTTCCACGATAATTCTCTTTTTTATATTTATCTGTAATTATGCTCCCATTCTTTTTGCTTTTGTAATTATACCGAACGAATCATTTGTATCAACTTTCCGTTTAGAATTTCAACTCCAATGACATTTGACAGATTCATTTTTTCCAAGCAACAGTAATCACCTGTCAGAAGCTCTCCACTTCCGGAGACAGAGTTTAACTTTGTTCAACATTATCCAAACCTCGTAGAATGCCAGAAAAATATTAAAAAATTTCAAGAATAGCGGAAAAAGTACATTCCGCTTTGAATGCGATTTTAGTCTCATGATTCAATTAATGAACCGTCGATAGTCGAGCAATCATTAACAATCTTGAATCATGCGGATACTGTTGTGGACTAACGAAGGAACCTTTGTACTTATGGAGACGACCTCAGCCGATCCGCGGAGCATATGTTTTTTAATAATCTCCCAACCGATCGAGGGCTGCTCATAGTACCCCTGACAGGCTCGAATCAATGTAAATGAAGCGAAATTGATATTCACGCGGTTACTGGATTGCGTAGCTCGGCGGTGAGGGGGATAAGAAGCGGTTTCCCTCCTTCGTGCTGTCATCGTCAGCTGACTCGTTGCTTCGTCGTTGATTCATCGTGTCTGACAAGGTTGTTATGACTTTTTTAAAGCCATTTACCATGTTTACGAGAGTATAGCGCTTGGAAGTATAATTATAATTACGTCCACCGTTAAATCGCTCGATTCCATCGTTAACGTTCGATGTTGGAGTGTTCAAGTACGTTAATTTGTACGTAGTGTCAAGCGAGGAACGTTAGTTAGGTTTGTTATAACCTAATCACGCTGAGCAATGAATCGACAAATTGTGGTGTCACGGTGTAAAGTTTGTTGTTTTTGTGCTTTTTGCAGAGTGAAACTGACTGAAAAAATTATGTGATATTTCCTTGAATTTCTGAAAAGTGATGGCTTCTACTTGTCGCCGCTGGAGGCTATGGATTTTACCAGTTCTAACTTGTCTTTATGCACTTCTCATCATTATCCTAGTACCAATCCTCTTGGCGAACTCCATTAAGAATGGTTTCAAAAAGCAGGATCAAGGTGCTCTCGTTGGAGGTGCTTTCGTGCTGCTTGCATTGCCTATTGCTTTCTATGAGATTGTTCAACACATGATATATTACACACAACCTAGGCTGCAGAAGTATATTATCAGGTATGTTAAATTTACATGTTGATTAAAAATTATCAACATTTGGTTGTTTTTATATATTACTGAGTTACTTTGAATTTGTAAATATCTATGGAAAAATTGACTCACTATTTGTAACTTTGTTTAGATTTAAATCATAATAGATAAGATAGTTAATGATTGTACATGATGTATATCATATTACAAACATCTGTGAATATTCTATGTTGATAATGTTGCCTATTTTTTCATAATTAGCTTTCATCTTATGTAATAAAATATTAATTATTAATTCAAAGTTAATTAATCTATTGATATGCAATCAGAAAACATATTACTACCTGATTATATAATACATATCAGTACATACATAAAAAATGGTTCTGTTTTCTAAAAATGAGACTACTAAACATGAAAATTGTATCTTATTTGATTTACAAAGTAAAAAAACATTTCCTTTGCACATTACAATTTATTTTTATTACATTTTTTATTTAATTCAATTGTTTGCATTGTAGTTTTATGAGTGTCAACATTATTTAAACAAATTTGACATTTTTAGAAACATAAGAACAATGAACTGTATTGATTGACCTTTGACATACTAAAGGTTATGAACGATTGATATAGCTAAAGAGTTCAAGTGAATAAACCCACTTTCTATAGAACTTATAAATTTTACATTCTTAGTAATATATAATTTCTGTCCTAAAGCAAGTTGTGGCTTTATGTACTTGATTACAATATTAAAATAGTTTAACCCTTTCAATGGGAAATGTGATTATGATTGTCACAAATCAAAGTTCACTGTCTTGCAAAAATTAAAGTAAAACTTATTGTTAGATATAAGGATGTACCCCAATCACATTATATTCTCGTTAAAATATTTCTAAACGAAATTAATTGTACATTAGAAAGAAAATTTCACAGTATTAAAAAAAATAATAAAACAAAATATATTTTCAAATGTATGTCTTGCATATGGCATCACCAAGTGCTTCAAATTATCTCCAATCAATATTTTGAATCGATTTTTACATCTTCGTATAGATAGGATAGTCGATTCGATCGACTTAATCGTTCTGTACCGGGTGATCAAAACACACACACTTCTAGTTTATATCATATAAATGAAGTTCTATAAAATTTTATTTTGTTTTTCAGGATATTATGGATGGTACCAATTTATGCAGTAAATGCTGTAAGTATACACCTATATTCTCTTTTGCTTGAATTATACAGTATGTCCGTTTTAAATGTCTACACATGATTATTTCTTAAAGTAATAGAAATGCGAAAAAATGTTTCAGATAAAAGTTGTATGGTATCGAAGGAGACATATCATGATGATAATTGTTTGACCTTGAGATAACGTCGGAGAGACCTGTGAAGATCACATTTGAATTTTTAAATGGAACCCTATATTTGTTATTGCATATTCTTGTAGCTAATATTAAGACGTATTTGAAACACTACTTACACATGTATTTTTTATAAGTCGTTGTTGAGTTATTCACTTTCAAAGTTTACACGTGCTACCGGCATTAGCGTTACCGAATATACACCGCGAGGAGGTTGCTCGGTCGGACTTTGTACATCATGGTGACTCTAAAAAGAACCGATTTTGTGTGTGTATGTGTGTGTTGTGTGTGCGTGCTTCAAAATAGTGTAATCTAAAGTGGCTATTCTTCAACATGTCTTCCATTATTAAGAATACATTTCTGTAACCTGTGTTAGAATTGCTTTTCCATCTTCTTTAACATTTCAGCTGTTATTTTTGTACATGCACTACTTATTCATCGGCGCAACTCTGTTACACTTTCAACTGGAGTACGATAAACTATTTGCTTTAGGTAACCCCACAGAAAGAAATCGCACGACGAACAATCTAGCGATCTCAGTGGCCATGATTCTGGACCGCCACGTTCAATCCACTTATTTTTAACTTTATTTAACCAATTTTTTACTACCGACATGTAATGTGGGGGTATACACCACTTTGTTGGAACCACATATTTCTTCTTTCTTCTAATTCTATATTGTCCAAAGTGTCAGTTACGTACGTTTACAAAAAATATAAATATTTTTGTCCATTGAGCATTCCGTCTAAAAAATACGGACCTACTAATTTTCGATTAGATATCTCGCGCCATACCGTCACTGAGTTTCACTACTGCTGGCAGCACGTAAACTTTGAAAGTTAATAACTCAACAATAACTTACGAAAAATACGTCTCAGCATTAGCTACAGAAATATGCATTCAAAAATATAGGGTTCCGTTTAAAAATTTAAATGTGATCTTCACAGAACTTTACAATGTTATCTTAAGGTCAAACAATTATCATCATCATATGTCCCCCTCGATAGCATACAACTTTCATCCGAAACATTTTTTCGCATTTCTGATACAGGAATAATCACGTGTATACATTTAAAACAGACATACTGTATTTTAATGCACTGTTGTATATATTGTTAAAATTTTTGTAGTGGCTTGGTTTAGTTTATCCAGAAGGCAGCATATATGTGGATAGTTTGAGAGAGTGCTATGAGGCATACGTAATATACAATTTTATGATGTATTTATTGGCCTACTTGGATGCTGATCGTCAGTTAGAACACAGGCTTGAAATGTCCTCTCAGGTACATCACATGTTCCCACTGTGTTATTTACCTGACTGGGAAATGGGAAGAGAATTTGTACATATGTGCAAACATGGAATATTGCAATATACTGCTGTTAGGCCTATAACAACTTTGATATCTTTGTAGGTACATCATAAGAATAAATGAATAATTAACAATTTTTTTAGCAGTCTCTCAAGTCTAGTAATGAATTATTAAAGATTGCATAAATTATACATATGAAAATTCTGCAAAAAAAAAAGCAATTACACAATTACTTGCAACAAATTATACATTCTAGTATCTGTGAGCTTAATGGAGTGTATGGAGAAGGTGAATTTAGAACGGACGTAGCATTTCCGTATATGATTGCTCTAAATAATTTATCACAATTCGTTGCCATGTATTGTTTGGTGCTTTTTTACCGTGCCAACGCAGAGGCTTTAAAACCGATGAAACCGATCGGGAAATTCTTGTGCATTAAAGCAGTCGTGTTCTTCTCTTTCTTGTAAGTTTACATTATAAATTTACATTTTAAAATTGCGCTTTAACATCAAAATGTATAACCACAATTATTTTTTCTATTTTGCAGTCAAGGTGTAATGATCGCATTGCTAGTGTACTTCGACGTAATATCGAGTATTTTTAACACGAATGACATGGACGACATCAGGAATATATCATCGAAATTGCAGGATTTCCTAATTTGCATTGAGATGTTCATGGCCGCGGTAGCTCACCACTACAGTTTTTCATACAAACCTTTTGTAAATCTAGCACAGGGCCAAGCATGGTGGGACGCATTCAGGTAACCTAACTTAAACATTCACCTACCAGAGATATTCTGTAACTCAAATTAAAAATTATACATACTTTAAAGATGATCTCTAGATACAGGGCTATACCTAACCTCAAAAGAAAACAAAAAATAATAAAGGAATATTTTATATATCTAGGGCGATGTGGGATGTTTCTGACGTTCATAATGACATCAAAGAACACCTAGGAGTAGTAGGATCTTCCTTAAGTCGCAGGATACGTGGTCGAAGTGCTTATCAGCAGGCCTGGGGAAGCGCGACGGAACGTACGTCTCTTCTTCCAGAAGCATCTGTGACCACGGCTAGAAGCGCGCCAGCATGTTCCTTTTCCGGTTACAATACCGCGGAAATCGAGCAGAACGATGGTTCCGTCGACTTGATTCCAGACGTGCAGGATACCAATAACGCGGTGAAGACGTAATTAACCGACGTTCTCTCAAATAAATTTTTGAGAAGAACGTTAACATAATCAAAGGATACATTTTTTGTTTGGGACACACACATACGCAAATCGGCATTGCTCTGCATCGCTAGTATTACCTTTATAAGCAGAGAGAAAGAAAGAGAGAGGGAGAGAAAGATAATCTAATTTTGCAAAACCAACGTTCTCCCCAGTATATTGTACAAAAATTCTCACTATCCTGCTCTGTTAAATTAATGGGGCACACTTTTTTGACCCTAGATATATGATCATACAACTGCTCATCACTCTTTCACAAGGAGCAGAGAGTTTTGAATTCTAATGACGACTCAGGAAAATGAGACATTTTAGATTTTTAGAGGAATTACCTTCACTTTGAGAAAGCAAGGTTTTCAAAGCACTCTCTTCTGGCTAATAATTAATACTAGAACGACCAGTCGGGTCAAAGTAACACATTAGCGATTTTCCAAAAGTGAATTTTTGTGTAACTAAAACGTGATTGAAAAATTAGATTCATATCGATACAAGTAAAAGTATACATGCAGAAAATATAGTCGGAAAGTTACAAAGTGATAATACTTACCATTATCGAACATTAACTTTTTTTTGTTGGCTGGTCGTTGTAGTGTTAATGGACTTATAAGAGAATAAGTTTGTGCCACTCAATATCCACTTCTTGTTTCTTTGCCTCCTGTTCGAGGCTCTCCAGGACTCAAGGGAAATCACAAATGGATATTCCATCACCTGGATGTTAGTACTCTTCGCTTTGATGCTTTTGCAGTCTCAATATCAGTTACTTTTTGATTGTATAATAACTCTCTGGCTGCAATTCCAAAATTTTTATCAACTTGACTTTCTAATTAATGGAGATTGCTCATTACATTATTAGGAGAGAACGTAACACCATATATTAAGGAATTTGATATACGGCCATGTTGAACGCGAGACAAAAGTGTCATCTTACCTTGTCCATTTAACGAAAACGCTTTTTTCCTCCTTGATTTGCGGCCAATTACTACGCGCCTCGTGTTACCAATGATGTATTACCAAATAATAATTTTGTGTGTGTGTGTGAATGCGTGCGCGCGCGTGTGTGTAAAATGTTTATACTTAGAACAATATATCGGTACAGTCCTATTTATAAACGTGTTGCGCTATTTATTGCTGGTTAATGACCCCAATAAGTGTATCACACACGGAGTTAGGCATTATTCAGAGGAATTTTCAATCATTCTAAAGATTAAATTTCCCGTTGTTCGTTGTATTTATCAGCCGTACAATTCATTGTCCGCTTATTGATTAGAATTCTGCCCAACTCTGAACGAATGCACCGTGAATTGAACGAGAAGAGAAGAAAAAAAAAGAAACATTCCTGCCAAAATATGTACATGATGGTTTAATTTTGTATGGATTGCGTTGGTTTAGAAAATATATACGAAAAGTAGATATGTTTTTATAAAGAGGCAAAACAAGAATACTCAAGTATACATATATGATATATATGTAACGCATCGACGACCAGCGAAAATTGTAACATGGTGACAGAATTCATGGAAGTGAAAAATTATCAACACATTGTCATATCAATATATTTCTCGTGCATATAAATGGTGTTAATTATCGTAGGTAATACGATGGGCGAAAAATATGATTTCGTTCGTATCTTTGTATACGATCGATCATCGTTACAGAAGAAAATTTTCCTAATCTAACCAATAAAAAACAAAATTTTATAAATGCTTATAAGATATACTGTCAATTTTTGTGAAGATATGTACCTAAAGAAAAAAGAGACAAAACAACTGGCGTACGAACTCAAATATTTTATTAGACGTTCGGACCAAAGAATAGTGTATATTTTATGTCAAGGTAGCATGTCCAGAATCTAAAAGAAAATACAACGTAGTTTTCCGGTTGACCTAGTGATTTTTATCGTCAATTAAAAATCTCAAGGGAAATAATATTTTTAATATGTTTTTACTGTTATTTGCGACTTTGTGATATATTTGGAAACCACCATTAATTGTCTCTATTATTATCCATTGACGAAGGATAGGAATAAATTTCAAATGAAATACGTTATACACTTTATATATCACGAGAAAAAAAAGATTGTTAGGCGTAGATTATGTATTTTAATAATTCTCAATCATTTTTGTACAAAAAGCATACTTCGATTCTATAAGTACTTAATAGAATACTTCCTGGGAAGAAATTCAAAATAATATTTATACCTCGTAATGAAACAAAATGTCACATGCGTTGAAAAATTTTGCGTCGCAACTTTTAATTTTCACTTTAAATTTAAGTTTTAAACTTTCAATTTTGAATGTTTATTTAGTGTTTTAGTTTAAGTGAAGTACGTCTTATGGAAATTATTCAAAAAAATTGTCATTAAACTTTTAAAATTAAAAAAAAAATGAAAATATTCGAAGACAAACGTGTACAATTTCGATTTCTTTATTTCATTTTCCTACTCATACAAAATGCAATGAACGTTATTTTTCCTAGTCATATTATGTACATCTACATTTTAGGTGTCATTACGTAACATTCAATGTTTAATGCTCTAACAATGCTAACAGCACTGTTATTTCTGTAAATTTGTCAAATTGTTCGCTTTGGTATAATTATTAAAAATATTGCATTTGCATTCAGACAATTTTTTTACAAACAATCTGCTAAACGAGGAATAAAAATATTCTGAAACTCATTATCACACGACTCTAATTTCAATATTAAAATTCAAACAAAAATTTCATGTATCGAATTGTGCCTATTAATTGCAGTTTTCACTTTCCGTAAAAACTGACTGAACTAGTAAGTTAGTGAGAGAAAAATAAATTAATACCTAAGCATTCGCGCATCAGCCACCAGGACCATTATTGTTTGTTACATACCATGCACCACTGGTTTCAGATATCTACACTTTTAAGTCCAGCTTCTTCACTTTTCTTTCTTCAATGCTTGGATAAACTCTTCAAGCTTCTCTTGAATTTGCCTGACACGTTCTGAAGAAATAGAAATACAAGATTAGATTAGTACTTACTAAAATAAAAACTTTTTGAGGTTAGAAATCAAAATACTTAGTTCCTCTGCTAGTGTGACTCGTCTACCAACAAACAGTTTCCGTTTAATTTCATTGTCTTGACTGTAATCTTCCAGCAATTCTTTTATTTCGTTGTCTAACCTGCGAGCCTCACGGTTCATGATTTGTTGTCGAAGGGCATTGGCAGTGACTTTCAGCATTTGCTGGATCCTCCAAAACAGGACAACGTCGCTACACTCCATCTATAAAAACCAAATTTTCAATGAAAATAATATAAAAAAAAATTATTTTTGATATATTATTTGACTTACTTCATTTTCGTGCCCAGTATGATACAAGTAATATCCTTTCTTGCAGTCGTATGCCTTAGCCAAGCTCTGTTGCAAGAAAAATCTTCTATATACTGGCTGCCACGTTTCTTGAATAAATTCATTACCAACTTCTAAATTGTTTCTTTGCAGATTATTCCTGACTGTCGTGATCTCATCGTCAGTGAGAGTAGATGCATGTTTCTGCTGGCAAAAAAAAAAAAATGTTATTTCTTCAGATGACATTGAAAAAAGGCATGTCCTCTTACTTTGTCTGAATAAAGGATTTTATCTAATTCATTCTTTACTGCTGTGCGTTTCTGTTGGTCTTCTGTCTGATTCTGCCAGTAGAGCCATCGTTCTGTGCGCCCTGGACCTAGCATATCCTTTAAAATTTGTTCTGCGGCTTGCAATTTTTCTTTGACAGAAGTTTCCAGGAAACGTACTGCCTGATCCCAATTTTGTTTATCACTCACGCTTCTATCTTCTAGAGTATTTAACTGGATAATTCTCAACATCTCAGAAGCCTGAAAATACTTTTATACATAATACATAACCTAACATAAATAAAAATAAAATTTTTGACAAAATTTACTTTTTCTTCCCAAGAATGTCTCCTGCTAGCTTCATTGATTACTACATTTTTCAAATTATCAAACATGTCATCATGTTGTGGGCTGCGTTTTGCTTTGTTCATGAAATGTTGGAATTCTTGTTGTAAACACTCCCAACCACTCTCGACACTTCGAGCTGGCAATTGTTGTTCAGTCCATTGGCGAAGTTTTATGTCAACAGTAGTGTTAAATGTACCTGAATAAAATTTGTTTCGAATTATAATTATATGTTTATAAAAAAATACTTTGTAAAATTATTCTACAAAATACCTAAATTTCCAGTTTGAGCTGCGGGTAAATAGATATTTTCAAACACATGCATGCTAACATTGTCCCAGATTTTAGCCATTAAGAGCTCCTCCCAATGTCTGGGTGAAACTTGGGACAAATTTACGATTTCGTCAAGGATTTCTCCCCTTGCTTTTTCGAACAGCTCGTCTATGTCCAGTTCTCTCAATCTATATAAAATAATCCACAATTCCTTTAATTTAGATTAAATTTAAATAAATTAAAATGTACATGTATTAGAAATTTTTTACCTTGGAAAGTTATTTTTCCATTCTGTTTCAAGATTAAATCTAGTAGCTTTAAAAGCATCTGCCTGTTGCTCCACAGTTTCACGAACCATCTTCCAGAAGCATTCAGCAACTGCAAGACTCAGGTTTCTTGTGGTAACCTGACCAGACATTATTACACCATTCCTATTACAAACCACAACAAATTATATAGCCTTAGGAGTTCTTTAAAAAAATAACTCTAGTCTCTTTAAATCCAAAAATAATTATCTATTCTTTATATATACGTACTTAAAGAACTTCGAATTTCTAAAGAATTTTTCTTCATAATCTTTGATCGTTTGTATATTATCGTCTTGTCTACCACGACCGGTAACGACAGCAAAATAACCTAGTGCCTTCATAGGAAATAACTTGCCAGATAATATTTTCCTTAGCCGCTCAGGATTAGCCAAATTTTCTTCTGCCAGATCTACCTGTCGATTTTAGAATATTCTTAAAATCAATGCCTCCAATTTTATCTTAAATTTAATTATATTTAATGAGATACCTTAGTTAAAACAAAAATGGTTCGTTTGCCAGAGGGATCCATTTGAGACACAAGATCTGTCACATTGCTTCTCTCAGCATCCACAGATCCATCTTGGATGCAGAGAATAATTGCATTAGGATTACTCATATATTGTTGAGTCATTTGTCGAATGGCGTCTTTAGTATCTTCTGCCATGTCAATTGTAACTGTCTGTTGTAAAAGTTTCGTAAATTTTAGACTTCTCCAAAAAATTAAATAAAAACTCTGACAAAACACATTTATAGATATATATTATTACTTACACTAATTATACCTGGCAGATCAACAAGAACCATACGCTGAAGGCCTGGTCCTTTTACCGTCATCGAAATCACATCCTGACTAACAGTTTTACCATTCTTAACACTGTTTTTCATACGTAACTCCACTTCACGTCTTAATTCGGCTAATTCTGATTCTTTTGTCAAATCGAATTCTCTAGAACTGTCTTTGAATTGAGCTATATGATAAGGACCTTCGCTTAAAGTGACTTTCACTGGAGCCCTTGTCATCATTTCACCACCACCTCTGAAATAAAGTTAATTGAAAAAAAAAAAAAAAAAAACAGTTAAAAGAACAATACATTTCTAAGAAAATTTACTTTTTTTCGGTATTTTATATTACCTAGGAAATATTCTTGCCTGAGCAATCATTTCTAATACAGACGTTTTACCGGAGCTTTGATCACCAACTACTACTACTCTTGGTAAATGATCCGCGGTAGAGTAAGCACTATCATAATCGCTAAGTTCATCTAAGACATCACTGTACATATCGATTAAGGATTTCTAGAAAGATTTCTAATTAGAAATTAAGAATTAGGTTTGATATTACATTAAATACATATATTTTAATCTAATTACTTTTATTTTCTTGTTACTCATGTTTTGCTTGCCACGTAAGAGCATCTGCTTCCGTAGCTCTCTATTTTCTCTTTCCAATCTTTCAAGTTCACGTTGGTATTTTAATTGAATTTGCATCACTTCCTCCTGCATAGAATTTAATCTCTCTTCCGACTCACCTTCGAAAGAAATTAGAAAGTGTATAATAATGAGTTTCAAAAATGGTACACAAATGAATTGTAATACACTAACATGTACATACGAGTTTTCTTACGTTCCTCTTCAATATTTTCATCAATCAATGGCCGGGCAAACGCTATAGAATTATTCGACACCTGCTCCTTTGCATCTGTTTAGTAAGATTTTAAAACTCAATGTATTAAGACTATTTGCAATAAAGTTATTAATTGATAAATGTAATAGTAATACCTTGCTGATATAAAAGTTATAATTCATAGTAAATAAAATGAATAAATATTAAAACATAATTTAATAATAATATTGAT